AGCCCTGGCGGTGCTGTCAGATAAGCATTGGCTGCAGCTCAAGCCCATCTGCCTTGCAAGGTCAAATGAGGATGTCTGTTCCCGCCAAGACTTGCTACCCTGGCAACCCTGTACAGGGTCATGAACAGGGATGGAGTCACGGTGTTAGGTTTGTGTGGACTTCCCTTCGCTTCCTGCGATGGTGCTTCTGCCACACGTGCGCAGAGACCCTAGGTGCTGGCTCTCTGTCACTTGTGGCATTCGGTTTTCTCCTCATGGAAACTTTGAAATTAGGCCATGCCAGCCTAACTTTTCTTGACTGTGTTGACGTGCTTGGAAATAATGGTAGCAAAGAATGGGAAGTTTTGGGTGTCAGTACAGCCCAAACCGAAGCTGAACTCAATGCCATCGAGTCAGTTCCAACTCACAGCCACCCTCCAGGACGGAGGAGAGCTGCTCCTGTGGCTTCCGAGACGGAACTCTTTATGGGAGTGCAGTTCTCTCCCTTGGAGCAGCTGGTGGGTTTGAACTGCTGGCCTTATGCTTAGCAGCCTAACCCATAACCACGGTGCCACCAGGGCGTCTCAAGTGCATCCCAGTGCCCAGTGCCGAAGGAGAAAACACAGATGCCCTAGCCTGGGACTCCCGAAGGGGAATGGGAGCGGGCAGTTGTGACAAAGGACATTTTCAGTTTTACGCACTGAGACTGGTGCGCTCTGTCATCCGTACACTTAACCAGCAGGGAAGGGGGTGTGTGTGAGGGTAGGACTTCAATGCCTCAGATTGTGAAGTAGGTGCAAGATGGAGAGACCACACAGCCACGGGTCTGTGCCATTGCAAGAGGAAGGTAAGAGTGAACGTGTTGACGGGCCCCAAACTATTTGTCCTAGCTCCCCCCTTTCCAAAACACAAAAGCAAAACAACATTGTAGTCCGTAATCCAAGTTCAAGGGTAGGTTTGTGCTCTTGCAGCCCCCCTCCATGGACTGGTCCAGGGAGCAGAGTCCTCTACTTTGGGGGCTACTGAAAGCCTTTTGCAGCATAGTTGATATCAGGGAGTGTGACTTTAGGATCACTTACTGCCTGGGAATGGGTCTTGACACCCCTCCCCACCACCCCCTTTCTCACTTTCCTCTGGCGCCCTAGGGCAAAGCGAGAACAAGTGACCATCCGGGCAGCTCCAGACTCCACACTGCCCTGCAGGACAGGGCAGAGCTGCACCCCAGAGGGCCCAGAGGCTGCTTTTTGGAAATAATTGACCAGGCCTTTTTTGGGAGGTGCCTCCGGTGGATTTGGAATTCCAACCCCTTTTGGTTCACTATTCCAGTCAGGAGATGGGCCTGCTTGCCCCCAAGCAGCCCCCGCTATGGTGCTCTCAGCTGATGTGCTTGACCGGAACAAATAGCCTTAGGAGAGAATTGAAGGCCCACGTTTTACACCTCTCCCAAGCCCTTTCTTTTTCCAAACAGCCCTCTGTCTGAATTTCTTACATCAGGGGTGCTTACACTTTTTCAGCATGTGAACTACTTATAAAATGATCTACCAACTACAAAAATGCAAAACATTTACTTATGTTTATGACATTTATTCATAAATGCAATGAGAATTCTTTAATGTACAATGTATGCTTATGTACCTTGCATAACCGCATAAGTCCATATTGCACAACCTAGCACAATTAACTGTGTACATTTTCTGTCGTGATCTGAGTTTACTCTGATGACTTGCACTGAATGTGATGAACCAGGGATGCATAGTCCGGACAGGAGCTGCTGACAGCCAGCCGCAAGCACACTTGCAAATGATCATCAGTCCTGGTGGAACGGTACTTGGACTTAATGATCTTTATGTGGGAAAAGGCTGACACATAAATAAGGAGAGCCGAATAATGCAGTCAAGGAGGTAGCATTTTCTCAGGTTTGGGTACTTTCCCTCTGCGAGTAAGTTCCAGAACTGTTCATGGGCTCTGGACTTGAGCTGAATGTCAGCTTGTGGTGTCAAAATCTCCCATTCCTTATGAAAGTGATACGTTTTGTCTTCTTACTTGGCCCAGCTCCCCCACTCATTTTAATACCCTTTCTTATGTTTAAGAGGAAAGGAAACAAGGTCTAAAAATTAGCGATAACTTAGCTTGTCAGTTTTGCTGCACTTAGCACAGTTGTTTGCGCATGCGTTTGACACATCTGATTGGCTGCGCTGCATATCAATTAAGTGACGGGATTGATGATAGGCTTACGTCATTTTTTCCATGCCATGTGATCTACCCACACTACATTTGCGATCGAGTAGACCGCGATGGATGGACTGAGCGCTCGTCTGAGAGCCAGGGGTCAAAACTGAGCACCTGGGTATGGAATTCTGCTCTTTGATGGACTTTAGCTTAAGGTGGGAGGTTAGGGTTTTGTTTGTTTTTAATGAGTCCCCAGTACATAAAAGAGATTTCCTAGTTAACTTCTTCCTGTTTTAATTCCAGCTTTTCTTGGAAATGTATCACATTTGTGTGCGGAGGACTGGCTGGAGCCGAAGAGTCCTTCCTCTGTTCCCGCAGGCAGGGGAGGAGATGTTCCCGTTTACCTCCAGCATTGCCGGTGCCCTGCACTCCTTTCTGTTGCCTTCCCCGGGCTCTCCTGGCGCATGAAACGCCGCTCCTGGCGTAAAGCAGGTGTGCCAACAAATTAAACACCTGCCCCAGCAGCGCTCGCGCTCTGTGGGACTGCAGAAAGGAGTGGCAAGACCAGAAGCTCCAGGCTGGGAGTTTCTTGCTCCCAACCAGAAACGAAGCAGTCATTGTGACGGGCATCATTCTTCTAAGTCCGCAGAGAAGAAAAGAGGGAGAGGGAGTGGCCATTCACCAAGAACCAGTCCTCAGATTCATTTCCTCTTTGACTAGAGCCCCTGGTAGAACATCAACCAGTTTCCTGATTTTATGTGGCGAAGGGATGGATAGTTGTGAGTTCCTAATGGAAGAGGAAGGCGCTCCACGAGATGGAATGACACAGTGGCTGCATCAGTGGGCGCAAACAACCCCTGCGAGGATGGCGCAGGAGCAGACTGCTCCCTTTGTTGTACTCGTAGTCACTGTGAGTCAGCGCAGGGTGGAAGGATGTCGTCGATCACTGTCCCCCATATAGGGTCAGCACTCTCATGTACCAGAGGCCATTGTGTGTACAGCCTTCTGATACCACTTGGGACGAAGAGTCTGATGGATTGTGCTGATACCGAGGGCCCAGACATGACTGAGCACTGTACAGGAACCGTGGTGGGGCAAAGGAGCCAAACAGTTGAGGTAAACCAGGGAGCGAAAGCGGTCTTGGGGCCGTAGCAAGTTAAGTTACTAATCGGAAAGTCAGAAGTTCAAACCCACCAGCCGTTCCTTGGGAGAAAGATGGGGCTTTCTGTTCCCACAAAGACCTACAGCCTCGGAAACCCACTTGTACGTAGTTTTACAGCAGGGTTGCTGTGGGTTGGCATTGACCCAATGGCAGGGAGTTTGGGCATTGAGGCGGGAGCATATGGGAGCCCCTGGGTGGTGCAGAGGTCAGTGTTCTCTGTCGCTACCTGCTGGAGGCTTGGGTTCCACCCGAACACATGAAGATGGGCTGAAAAATGAGCCACCAAAAACGGATGGATTCCCTTTCTCAGGCACACGTGCGTGGGGCTGCTTGGTTTGGGGTTAAGGGGGTGACAGGCAGACACCCCTGATAACCAAACTCGCAGCCATCGAGTCAGGTTTCTGAGATGAACTGTTTATGCGAGTAGAAAGCCCAGTCTTTCTCCCATGGTGTTGTTGATGGGTTTGAACTGCCAACCACGGGGATCACAGCCCAACACGTAATCGGGACAGCTCCAGGATGTCCTTAAATACCTGCACCAAGAGGTCACGACCTTCTTGATAAAAACAGCCCTTTCCCCGTGGCATCAGTGCTGTGAACATGAACGTCTGAGGCTGTGGAAACTGACCCTGGGGGAGCCCACGGTGCCTTTTCCCTTTAAACAGCTTTATTAGCACCTCACCTACATGTCATACAATTCAATAACAATCATATCAAGAAGAGTTGTACAATTATCACCACATTCAATTCTAGAGCATTTTCTTCTTTGTGCTCATTCATGTAATTTCTTTTTCTAATTGCGGCATAAATATATACAACAAAACAGTCTCCAAATGACTTGTCTAATTCAGTGCCATTGATTATCCTCTTTTTGTTGTACAATGTGCGTATCACGGATGCCCTTTGCCCAATTACCCCACCACCACGGAGGTAAACTGAGCAAGGACTCTTCTTCTTCACCCACGGTGATCTTTGTGCAA